CATCCCAATCCGGTATACGACAAAGCCGTGAGGGAAAGGTCTGGAGAGACTGTACTCACCTCCTAATTCGGTATACGACAAAGCCGTGAAGGAAAGGTCTGGAGAGACTGTACTCGCATCCCAATCCGGTATACGACAAAGTCATGAGGGAAAGGTCTAGAGAGACTGTACTCGCATCCCAATCTGGTATACACAAAGCCATGAGGGAAGGGTCTGAAGAGACTGTACTCGTATCCCAATCCGGTATACGACAAAGCCGTGAGGGAAAGGTCTGGAGAGACTGTACTCGCATCCCAATCTGGTATACAACAAAGCTGTGAGGGAAAGGTCTGGAGAGACTATACTCGCATCCCAATCCGGTATACGACAAAGCCGTGAGGGAAGTTGAGCTACGAAAATACTCTCTCTTCAACAAGCTAAAAATAAATGAACGCACTATCACAAGAGAAACAATGGAGCATCTACTTGAAGATCGAAGATCAGGTGTACAATTCGTCAGATTTGTTACCCAATAGAGTATGCAACCAACACTCAACTACTCTAAAGGGCGAGGACACGAGCAAATACATCTATCCTAGAGAAGGAACGTAGAAGCGCCAACACCAAAGAGACGAGGAGGAGACCCGGATGAAATGTCTACGTCTTTACTTGCCTTTGAAAAAGCAACAACTACTCCAAAGGACAAGTAAAGAGGGGCAGCTGTAGACACCCAATTTCGTCTGGGGGTACACAAACAAGGAAATGGACCTCCGTTATGAAGGGAAGGAGCTCCCGAAGCAGGCAAACAACAAGACAGGACATCAAAAGGCCTAAAGGACAAATAAGATTGTTTTAGTAGCCTGGAACGAGCTGTTCCAAAATCAGAACGGGCCGTTCCGAACCTAAGAACGGGCCGTTCCAATAGCAGAACGGGCCGTTCCAACTCAACTAAAACACCTAAAGATCCAATACAGGAACGGGCCGTTCCAAATAAGTCAAATTTGGAACGGGCCGTTCTGGAATGGACAAATTTGTGTTAATTATCACTCTGGAACGGGCCATTCCATTTTAGAACGGGCCGTTCTAGGATGCGTAATTTGAACATAACGTAATAGATCCGGAACGAGCTGTTCCGAGTCTAGAACGGGCCGTTCCGGGCCATATCTGATGCCTATAAATAGAAATCTCGGGCACAGTTCTCAAGGTGGCCAGAGAAATTTTGAATAAGACTCCTTTGAGCATGAAAATTCTCGATCTCTCTCCCTTCTATTGTATTTCTGGAGATTTGTGTCGCATCTCTATTTTCTCTCTCCCTCCTA